CGAGACAATATACACAACATGATCATCATTGTATTACGGTACACCTGACTCCTTTCCAGCACCTCATTAGTCCCCAGCGCTCTCCCGTCACTTTCGGTTTGTAGATCTCTCGTGATTAACAGGGATTAGCCGGAGGCATTGCAGTATAACATAAAAATTTGTATCACTCTGGCTCCCAGTCAGTTCCCGGCACTTCCTCGCAACCTTCCTGCAACTCAAATCATGAGGATCAACCAATCATATTTTGCGCACGTAGTAACTAAGCCACCATTATTATATATTTTTTTGATTGGACACGGTATCCAAGCTCGTCAAAATTGCGCAGAAGTGGGATCAACATCCGGTTAAATTTATCTCCTGAAACCTGATGTAAGCATGGGATTAGCGTCAGGTTAAATTTATCTCGTCAAAATTGCGCAGAAAAATGAATTAATTACATGGCGCAGTACATTATCTTAAAATTTCGGAAATTACATAAATTACATAATCTTTTTCATCTTGATGAAAATCACGTGAGCATTCTGCTAATTACTTTACCGTTCGTACATATTGTCTGTTTGTTATTATTTTAATATAAAACAGGCCCGATGTGGGCAAATTATTAATATATGTTTAAATACACATATCATATGAGAATACTAATTTTTCCGAAGTTAGGCTTATCATAGTAGCGAAGTACAGTACATTTTAAAATTTCGAAGAAAATAAACTATCTAACAACGAACTTTCAACTTTAGTGGCGAATCCCAGGCATTATCTTCATCTAAATAATAATTGGCCGCTTTCTTTAGTAGCACTTGATATTTTTTATTTAGATCTAGAATAAATGACTACAAATAATAAAGATCAATGGTTAGCAGAGTACACCAATACTTAACAGATATAATAGGAAGATAATTACCCGCAATGATAACATTTTTGCCGCTACTTTCGTTAGTTTAGGCAATGCTGTTACTTCTTCTGGTATATCGAATTCCATGATTGAAAAAACGATTGGCCGCATATTTATTGGCCAATTAGCTAGATATATCTCAATACTTGCTCCTATAATATGTCAATCAAAGCTTTAGCAAAATAGTTGCAATTAACAAATAAAAATTTTAACTCACCATTAAATTGAACACAGAGAACAGGCATCGATGATATCTCTTCTAAAAGTTTTTCTGGTAGAATGGACACCATTAGTTTAAACATGAGAATTATGGCCTGATGTAGTTTTGACAAATCACCCTCCGTTTTTGAGAGTATGGACGTGGTGGCTGTTTCTATGTAGATGAATTCAAATTGTCGACTAAAGGAAAGAATACCATCGTATTTTTTTCTTTTCCGTGTTCTTCGATCAAGACATTTCTGGGCGCAACTTTCAACTTCACCTCTTATGCCAATGAAGAAAATAATCAGTTAAGAACATAAAGCATCAGTATAAAATGTACTTCTCATACCGTCGGAGAATCCATTCATCAACCGATTCGAGACAATCGTCGAAAATTGGCGCCACAATGTGGCTATTATACCACCCCTCCTGTAGTTCAAAGCTATTAAGGTTCAACGAACCATTATCCTGGAATAGTAGAAAACTGGCACGAAATCAATATTAGGAAGTAACTACATTTCAATACCATGATCAAAACACTTACAATTTTTGAAAGAGGCGATGCACATAAACAATATCACGATCCAGACTCTTATAGTCGATTTTGACTTCTGATAGTACTTTTCCAAGATCCTCTAAGGATGTCTAAAAAAAACTGGATTAAGTAATCATAACCAATCATTATCTTTCGTGAATTATTCTTTGATTGCTTACTACATTAAATTTTTTCAAGATCTTTGCAACATCTTCAGATATGACTTTTCTAGGTTTATATCTCTGTATTTTTTCTTCGAAGTACATCTTTGTCGACTCGCCTAGAGCTTCTAAAATAACACCGTCGTTGAGGTCAATAATGCCACAATCGAGTGACGTTTTCGTTTTCGGTCTCTTTTTTTGACATTTTTTATATAAATCCAGAAGGATTTGTTCTATGTCAATATCGTTAATTATGGCATCGAACTTCCACGGTGCCCAATCCAAGTCCATTTCATAAATATCGAGTGGACGTTTAAGAGTACCCTGCTTAGGCGGTAATAGCGTTTTGGGATCATTACCAGATGGTACAGTAGTGTATTCGTCGAATGATACGTTAAACGTAGAATCTGTTTTGGTCTGCATATTAAAAAATGATATAACAAAGGCATAATATCAATATGAAATAATGAGACAAATGATATATAAATTAGTCCTAGTCTGACCTTGTTTGAATCCAATTCATCTTCAGAAGATAAAGGACGCTTGTTAAAGCATTCCTACAACAAAAAAGATTCACAAAAATTCAAACAATACGAAAACAATTCAAATAATTTTCCACTCCTAAATATGTATTATAAGCGATTAATGTATCAGAAGGATCAATTAACTAACCTGAGTTCTGGCTCGGAAATCATCGTCTGAATCATTAAATTGAATCTCATCCCCATCGGTTTCCTCTTCTTTATACGTGGAGAGGGTTGATTTGGAACTCAATGATGTATCGTTATCTATGTTTCCTTCATTTCTTATGGTTGTTTTGGCCTGTTCACATAAAAACAAGTAGAAAATTTTTTTCTCGTCATCCTCACGTTTTTTCGTTTCTAGATGTTCATCTCCTCCCAAATTCTTATACATAAAAGATAGTAAATGCTAAAATACCTCCGTAAGATCTCTGATCTCTTCATCATTTTCTACATCATTAGATTCAGAATAATGTGCAGTTTCACTCCCATTAATAACTTTGATCTTCCTTTTTGGTTGTTTGCAAGATACTTGTGTTTCATCCAATATGCGTTTTTCAATCTTTCCTGTAATTGCTCGTTGTAATAAACTAGCTTGACCTCGGTTCTCTCTTGCCGTATCCAGAATTTGTTGAGTCTAAAAGGGAATGTACTTTCAGCGTACCAATATCAAGGCTAAACGTGATGTGGGTCGTCAATATATACCTGTTCAAGATTAATCTGACTCTCCAGCTCCTTCTCAATTAACTTGTTTCTTTCTTCAAGCAACTTTATCTCCGTGATAATATTTTGTCTCTTCGTTTGCAGATCCCAAAAATGATTTATCTGTTGCGAGTTTTTATCATTCTGTTTTTGAAGGAATAAAAGATAGTAACAAATTATTCTATTTGCACATAAAAAGAAAATAAGACCGTCATGGACAAGTAAGCAACCCTTCTGGACAAACACGCAGTCTTTCCCCTACGAACACGCAGTCCGCAAAGTAGTTCGTGAAGTGTTACATATACAAATACACAAACACGTAGCTTTTCCTGAACAAACACGCAGTCTTTCCCTTACAAACGCGCAGTCTGCAAAGTAGTTCATGAATTACTACTGCATATTCACACAAGCACAGACAAACACGCAGTCTTTCCCCTACGAACACGCAGTCCGCAAAGTAGTCTGTGAAGTACTGCGTATTAATACACAATTTCCAGACAAACACGCAGTCTTTCCTTTACGAACACGCAGTCCGCAAAGTAGTCTGTGAAATGATATACTGCATACTAACACGCCTCACATCAACACCATTAAATTATAAAGAATAATACCTTGAAATCTTGCTTAAATTTTTTCACCTTTTTTCCAATTTCAGACATTTCGGGATAATATTTGCTAATAGAATTTAGTTCTCCTATGTATTGATTATGTTCCGCCACCTCATCTTTCAAATCTTCCGCGTGTATTCGATAATTCAAAAACTTATTAAGCGATGGCTCATCAGTACTCTCCCAAAAGACTACGTATTTAACAAAAGTCAGGTTACGCTATAAGCATGTTATAAGAAATTACTGCTACAATTTGCCTTACCACGGTATCTAAGATCGTTCAAGCATTCGGGTGACAAGTACATTTTACGTCTCGCTAAATAAAGATGATAATGAATATCAGATATCACGATTTTAACGAACGCGTATAATTTGAACTGCGGATTGATCACAAAATCAATGTGCCCTTATCAGTTATATGATTGGGTGCCAGCGACCCCATATTTTTAACGTGATCAAAGTCAAAAAAAAATGTGTAACCTGTTTGACCAGTTTTTTTAGATGCATATAAAAATTCAATGCCCAAATTTTCCAAATTTTATTAATTTTAAAGTGGAGGTAGCGAATGAAATGTATGATGCTATCAAAGAGGGAGGGAGTTCTCGGATCCTAAGCCATAAATGAGAGTTCCAGCATCAAGTTATTTCGCAATATTACCTCCACCGATACTTCCTCTAACACTACCGCTACTGCTACTATCAGAAAAACTAACTGATTTCTTATTTCCCTCCTTTTCAACCCATTCGATGATTTTATCTATAGA